AATAATAATAATAATAATAAGAATATCAGTTACATTTAATGAGGTATAATATATTATAAAGATATATTAGTCTCGTGAGCCTTAATTTGAACATGTGAAAAACAATTTTATGTCGGTTAAAAAAAAAAAAAAAAAAAAAAATTAAAAAAAAACGCGCGAAAGGATGTGAAATTATATATATTGTTAATTGTGTTGTACGCGCACACATGCACACGCACACGCACTTACACACATGTGCACTCCTCACGGTTCTCATGTGAATTATGACGGAATTTTTTTGTTTTTTTAGCTAAATGGGAATTGTGATTTTTATATAAAAAGTGGGTCGGTTTATCCTAAAACAATGCAATTAATTAATACGATATTGCATTCGTACGCGTAAAAACAAACATACAAACAAGCAAACAAACAAACAAACAAACAACAACAACAACAACAACATTGACACTGTTTTAAAACGTGATTAGTCATTATATTACCCCACGTTAGCTGAATGTCCGATTTTTTTTATTTATTGATTGTTTATTGTATAAAAAAAAATATTTTTGCGTCGTAATGGCGTTTAATTATTATTATCATCATCATTACTATTATTATTATTATTATTATTATTATTTTAAAATTTACCGAAATAAAAAATATTTAAAAATATTTTGTTTTTTGTTTCCTTCGCTCATCGTTTCGAATAAAATAATTTTTCGTGATTGCCCTTCCCCTTTCCCTTCCTCCCCCAATGCCCCGCCCCTTTATCTCCATTCCCCTCTCCACTCCCCCCTCAGTTTACTTTCAAAAAACTTTCCAGAAAATTCGTTGGAAAAAAAAAAAATAAATAAATAAATTTTATTAAAATTAACCGAGTCCGTCGTCACGCGTGAAAACACCGCATTATTATTATCATTATTATCAATACTTATTTATTTACTTTTAAATTTCGTGATGATGATGATGATGATAATGATGATGGAGTAGCGCGATGTTAATTTAACACCTGCGCATTTAAATATATATTTAAAAATGATAAATAAATAAATAAATAAATGAATGATAATTTTTTAACTTATTCTCATCATATGTAATAAATAAATGGGTAAACGGATCACAGGCGGCCATGTTTTTAAATAATAATAATAATAATAACCGAAAATAAATAAGTACCTTTCAATACGTATGAAAGACATATTATTATCATTATTACCATTATTATTATTATTATTATTATTATGTTCCGTTTGTGTGTGTGTGTGTTAACCACTGTGTGGTTGTAATAATTCAAAACGATTTTCGTTATGATATAAGCCCTCCTCGCGTACATCATCACAATAATAATAATAATAATAATAATGATGATGATGTACTCGTAAATGCAAATTATATTTTTGTGTGTGTGTGTGTGAGTGCGCGCGCGTGAGCTCAATCGAGATGAAGAAAATCTAAGGAAAAAGTTTTTTCGAATAAAAAACATAAAATTAACCTTGACACTTAGCACAAAAAGCGCATTTAACTCAAGTTCACGACACAGAAATAAAAAAAAAAAAAAAAAAAAAACTTTCTCCATCATCATCATCATCATCATCATCGACTT